CACCGTGTTACCATGCAGAGTGTATCGCCTATTGTTATGTTTCATGTCTGGGTGCTCACCGTGTCACCATGCAGTGTGTATCGCCTATTGTTATGTTCGCTGTTTTTTCTTGTGTAGCGCAGCTTAGGTGGGACACGGTGAGCGTCCCTTATGCCAATAAAATATTCTATACTGTAACTTGAGTGTTTGTGTCGTAAACCAGCAAATATACCTTTTTCGATATTTAACATTGAACTCTTCAAAAATCAGTGAAGATAAACGCCATAGAAAACACTTCAAATTTCTTTTCAGTAAAAATTAATTCCAGCTAAAATAAATTATTTTACAGTACACAAAATCTCATAGAAATCTTTGTTTTTAGGTTCACGAGTGCTTTTAATAGAAATGGACTCATAATATTGACTTTGCGGAATTTGTGAAAACAATTTCAAAATACTGATACAAATTTTTTTGAAATTCACAAGTATTTGTCTCTTCTAAAATGAAAACCGTTTACAGTATACAGCTATGGTAGCAACCCAGAAATGCGGACAATTTAAAAGTATTATAAATTGTTGATACTTTGATATGAAAATCATCAAAATATGTAAAAAAGTTCAAAACTTGCTTGGTTACCGCAATTGTTTTTTTATACTTTTAAATATCCAATCACAGAGAATAACATTTAAGGATATTATCTGCATCCATCTTTAAACCAAACTATATAGAATATACTGAAAAGAAAGTAAACAGAACAAACCATTTCACACTCTTCTGGATCTGCCACCAAAGCCTTCATTCCATAACGCTGTGCGTCTTTAGCAAGACGACCGGCGAACTCCTCAGCTGTACCAGTCTGTGATCCATAAAACACTATCATGTTTTTCCCCTGAAACAAACGCATATGATACATCAGAGCTTGCAAAATATCTGTTACAAGTCACTCAGAGTCGGAGAGATCAATTAAGCCCCACAAGCACAACAACCTATTTGAAGGCAATATTGTCATATTAATTTTATATTGAAAATAGCGTAATTTGGCATTGGAGAGCTTGTTTATCCATTGTTAATACATGTTACTGGTACATGCTTTACAAACTAATAACTTACAAATATACTTACTGAATTTCGCATTTTATTTATAAAACTTGGATCATTACTCCTACCACTTGCTGGCCTGATTAATATAAAACAGATATCAATCAGATGTCAAATAAAATAACTAAAGTGTAGCAAATACGAGGATGTTGAAATGTTATTTCCAAAAAGATTGCATGGAGTGATGTCATGCAAGTGATTTAAAATTGGCAGCCATCTTGGCAAACAATGTAAAATACCTGAATGAAACTCATTTAAGACATAATTACTAGATTATGCAACAGCATTTTATCGGAGGTTTTTGCTCCTCTCACCAATTAACAGAAAAATATCTTCGTTATGTTTATACAGTTGTGACTGAATGAAATCGAAAAGTTAGGCCTGGTTCTTTCATACCCCAGATGGAACCACACCCTTTACCCTTGATCACTCACTCGTTCAGACAGTCGGGTCTCTATAAGTTCGGCAACCCTAAGGATACATCAGAGCTGAACACGCTTACAAATTAGGCTGGCAAGGAGTTATCAAACTCGGCTCAAGCTGAATATTTACACAGTCATTTTTGCTGGATTCAATCTAACCCCTCCAACCCCCCACATTTGTAATTATTGTGTTGGGGAGAACGATAAGCATAAGTTGCTATGCATGCATCTAATACTTACATAACTGTTAACTTTTTCACTGTTGGTGAATCATGTGTTTTCTCTCCACGAAAAAAGAACCAATAAATAACAATTCCTAAACACGTACATAGTAAAAATATATCCATCATTCCAATGATGGCTTCCTCTGGCACATCGGGTGATTGTTGTGCATCTTCTGACTCCATCGTGTGATCTAAAAATAGACAAAAATGCCATTATTTTTTTTTATGCCTATCATGGTAAATTTATATTAAAATAGAAGTCACTATTTTAAATCTGTAGCAAACAATCAAAGAAATAAAATAAGCGAAGTCGTTGCACAGTACACAAGATTCAACGCATTCTACACTTGTTGTTGCATGGGACTCGCATGTCACATCACAATGTCAGTGACAATGATTTGATAGTGCAGGCATATGTCACACTAAAATTCTATAATCTTTTAGTATGAAATCTGTCGTTGTGTAATCACCAATGATAGTTATCCACAAAAAATATGCATGTTGATTACATAATTTTATGCAAATTACCAATAAATTAACAGCAACACAAAATGCGCTAAAATACGCTAAAATATCAACACTTATACAATGAATGGTAATGTACTACATAATTTTAAGGTATTTGAACAGCAGAGCATATAAAAGCCTTTTGAAGATATCATCATGAAATGAACAATCTGAGAGAATTACCTGAGCTACC